GAGGATCCTGGATCTCCTCTGTTTCACACTTTCCCCTGGAATCTTCTAGTTGTAAGTAGTCATTGAAATTTCTTGGCTTAACAAAGGAACTTCAGAAGGACAGCATTGTGTTATGGCAGGTAAAGCTGTCACTTGCAATGCTGGCATCCCAAGTCAGTGTAGATTTGAGTCCCAGCTGCTCCACTTCCAATTAAGCTCTTTGCTAATTGTCTGGGGAAAGCAGTGGAAGATGGTCCAAATGCTTGGGTCCCTACACCCAAAGTGGAAGACCCAGATGAAACCAGTATTGCAAAAGACACCACAACGATAATGGGGAGAAATTTGCTATGTGCTAAACAAAGTTCTCAATACCTGTGTTACAGAAACTTTATGAATTCTTTTAATAACTTTCTGAATTCAGTAGTGCTATAATCATCCTCATTTCAGTGAATTTTCTGCCTTGTACTAATGCATGTAATTTGAACTTGTGTCTTTTTTGTTGTTGTTGTTTTGGGTTTTTTTTTTTTTTTAGTCTTGATGATTGTTTTTATTTTCATTTCATCAAAAGGCTTCTCATATTTTTAATTTTTTTATAAAGTTTAGTTGGTGCTGGGGTCTCCCTTCCTCCTTCCCAAGTTCCCTCCCCTCCATTATCCCCTCCAGTCTCACAATGGAACTTGTGTCTGTTAATGCCAGTCTCCATGCTCTATCTCCATGGTTTCACGTGAGAGAGACAGAAAAGTCCTATAGAACATTAATACATTCCAGTTATTCATTGCAGTTCCATTCTTGTTGGTAATTCCGTCCTTTCATGGTTACTGTTATTTGAAACCTTTCCCTCTTCCTCAACTGTCCTCATGTTGTGTTTCTACAAGGTGGAAACCTCAGTCTTAGCTAATACAAGAAATGGGCAACAAAAGTTATATGATCCACTGAAATCCTTGAAATACGGAACCCACTGCATAAACCGGGTGAGGAAGCAATACGGATTCTGCCCCTTCTGACTTGTTGTAAACCACTTAATTGGTCATTTATCACCTGTCATCTCTTAGAACTCAGCAAACAAGCTCAATAAAGCTCTGAATGTAGGCAAATGTGACAAATGTTACAGGCTTCAGTAAGATGCCATAAAATACACACAGAAAATGGTACTCCTCTTGGCAACAGATGCCTTCCTTTCAAGTCACAGCCTTCTCAGACTTTCATCAACCACACCGAGCCTTACTAAGCCGAAGCAGATCATTATGCTCAGTAAGATCAACCAATCCTCAATGAACAAGTATTCTATGTTCTCTGTGATAAAAGTCAATCTTCATGCAAAATACAAGAACAACAGATATATACGCAAACATGTATATATTCATACACAGGAACTGTATAATCAATATTAGCATACCAAGAAGAGAAGACATATTGCAATATGCATCTCTACTTCTGAATAAAAGATGGGTTTCCAATGAAACTGTTGAATATATTTTGATAATATGATGTTGGACTTTCTACTATTGACTATACCTGCAGTATCATGATACACTTTAATGGTGGAATGATGGACTTGTGACTGTTGTTTAAGGATTATACTACTGTAATAATATGGGGAAAATCAGTGGGAGGAGGAGGAATGGGAGGGTAGAAGGGTAATCCCTGAGCCTATCAGACTCAATCATAAAAATTAAAAATTAAAAAATTAAAGATAAAAATAAGATGGAAAGATAGCATAATGATCATCATCTTAATTATCATCATCAGATGATCACCATCATCAGTATTTTTCAGAGGTTATTCCTCTATTTGGAATATGCTACCAAGTGCTTTATTTATATAAATTCTTTGAGATGTGTGGGGAGCCGTGCAGTTGGGTCGGATGGCATGGGTGTGTGATGAGCACCGCTCCTCAGTTAGCAAGGCTGCGAGGAGTTTCTGGCTGCGTGGCAAGGCCCAGCAGAATGTCTCTGGTCACCTCATTGCTGCCTCACCCCATTGTATGGAACTCAATCACCTCTCTGATGTTTCATAGAATTCTTCTGAGGGTGGTGCTGTTGCTTTTCTGCTAATGTGAAGTGATTCCTGTAACTGGTATAACACCTCAAATTGATCTATCATGTTATGATAAAAACACCTATAGTAACGTAAGGCCATGACACACAGTTGAAAGTATACAATAATACAATTGAGCCCACTATGTTTCCAAATATCCTGTTATGTGCCCACTTTTGTCCTAAAGTTTGCCCTAGTATAAGTAATGTTTTCCTTAAGAAATGGCTTGATAATATCTTGCAACAGATGGCAATCATGGAGGTACAAAGAGTTTGTTTACTGTTCGAACTGTTACAACACATGATATGATGCATTTTAGTTTCTTACCACAGAAAGCAAAAGTATATGGGGCATCTTTTATAAGGAAATAAATGTGAACCCCCGTCAAATTGGCTTAAAATCTCAATCTTATATTGGCACTTATATTTAGGGAAAGAAAACAGTTTATATAGATGAAAGTAAGTTTCTTGTAAGAGGCCCTCTGTAGATTAGCTGAATTGCCTTTCACTGCCCTTTAACAAAAGAATAAAAAACAACTGAATCAGCACTAGGTGAGGGTGACCGTAATTAATGCATGATTTGATTAAAAAATTTAGCAAAGAATCTATGTTATATGCTTTTATAAAATCCCTTTACTTATGATCTTTTAATTCTGTATTCTTAATATTTTAATCAATATTAGTTTGTGTTTAGTAAAAGTTGATTTTGAGTATAAGTAAACTACTTGTCACTATGTAACTGCATGCGCTGCCAACTGTGGAGTTCCTGGCTTCAGCCAGGTGATTGCAGGTTTCAATGAGTAACGGTTTGTTAAGAATGTTTTCTTTGAAATAGAAAAATATTTTTTAGGATTGCTTCTTGCATTTTCATAACCATGATGTAATGAAAAATGAAACAATTGGATGTTGTGAAATAACTTGTGATGATTTATGTATAAATAAAGAAGGCAACTTTTCTGAGTTGTCCATTATGAGCATCAAGTCATAGTGGTCCGTGTCTTATCTCTTCCTATCATCTCGCCGATCCACGCATCCTTTGCAAGCTCTCAGTCAGCTGGAGCTGGTCCCCGGCAGAGATGAAGCCAAATTTTTACCCAAATAAAACTTTGTGTTCATTCACAGTTGCTTCATATCACCTTTAGCATTTCTGAGCTAGACATAAAGAGAGACAGCACATTTGTCCACTGGAAAATTTTCTGTATGTCACCAATAGCTAAGAAGCAAAGCCCAGACCCAGGAACTGAACTCAGGTCTGCCATTTGGGTGGCAGGATCTCAACTACTTGAGATATCACTACTGCCCCTTGGAGGTTCACATTAGCAGGAAAACTGAGTCAGGCATGCAATCGATAATTGGACTCAAGGTGCTCCAGTATGGGAGGTGGCCATCCAACCTGGAATTTTAACTACTAGGCCTATTACTCAGTTTTTTAAAAACAGTAAATTGTGTCTTTTTTTTTTTTTTTACTTTCTACATCAATGACAACCTGAAAAAAAAAGTCTTATATCTTTTTTCACTGTTTGAGCTAGCAATATTTTTATATGATGGCTAATATAGAAATCCAAAGATATCTTTGTTACTACCAAGACCAGTTGTTGGAGAAAGAAGCAACACACAATTGAGAAAACGAGTCTGACACAAGATAAAGCTTATTAGTGGGATGACAAGAGGGAAGCCCCTTCTCTAAGAAAGAGGTCAACCCTATCTTATGTTGAAAAACTTGGGGAGTCAAGTCACAGGAATTAATGTCACATAGATTTTTATAGCTATGACCTATATTGATGTTAACCAGGTAATGTTTGATGATAAGCAAGGAACAGCATGACTCAAGTTCAGAAGCCAGTATGTGACTGTCTCAAGGATATTTTTTTAATTTTGTTTTTATTTCATTTTGTGACACAGTTTCGTAGATTCTGGGATTCCCCCAACCTATCCCCATGCCCTCTCCTGATGGTGGGTCCCTCCACATTGTTGCAGTATTACAGATCAAATCCAGTCATGATTCCTTCATTGCAAGCATGTACCATGCATAGAATCCAGCATCTTATTGTCCAGATAAATTCAACAGTTTCTTGGGGAGACCATCTCTGGTCTGAAAGCAGAGCTGGCAGAATATCATCCCGTCCAATGAAAAGCCACAACATGACAGCAACAACAATCTACCACATTATTAATTACTGATAATTAACATGGTATTGAGAAGGATATTCTTTTTCTTTTCTTTTTTGATTATTTTTAAATAATCCTACTTAGTTGATTAGGGTCCAAATGTCAAGGGCTACAGGGTGAAAGTGGGTAAGACCATTGTTTCCACACTAATATTATCATTTTCCCCTGTATCTGGGGTTAGGAGAGTAACAAAGGGAAAAAGCCCCATCCAACCTCCCACCCATCCCAGATCCCCAAAGAGAGGCACACTCTGAAGGTCCTGCTCAAACAGTTTTGATAGTTCATCAGTTCTGGATAGAGAAGGATATTCTTAAACACACAGTTGTGTGGCTTTGCTTATATAAGCAGATGCTTATCCAGAGGCCTCAACTTTGATGTCAAACTTTTGCCCACTTGTGATGTTATTTTTTGTGAGCTGCCAGTGGCAGTTACTTTATGAGCAGGTGATGTTTTTTTTTTATTAGTTCTTCCTTCTCTTATTCCGCTTTTCTGTAAATACATCATTATGTTTGAACCCATATGAAGACTGTTCTTCAAACTGTCTCTCTGCCCATTCAGGTTCTGGGTTCTCAACCTCCTCCCTTGTTACACTTTCCTATTCTTTCATATTCCATTTGTCCTTCACTGTCACATATTTGCTTATCACTCATATCTTTGGTTTTTCAAATATTGATGTGTGGTTATGTAATGGCTGTTCATGATTATCAGATTGCCAATGCTATAAATACTCAGTCTAGTTTGCAAAGCTGCACACTGCAAGCAGTGAAGCTCTTCCCGGTATCCATAAAACTCTAAATGAAACCTGAGAACCCATCCATGGACACCTCAGGCAAAGTAAGTATGCTGTCTTTAAGATAGACATATATCATGGTAATTGGCTGCCAAGCTCACATTGAAATGAATTTAAAATACCATTTTCTCCTAGCATGTTATCAATGGTTCTTAATGATAATACCCAGTTTTTCCCTGGCTGTGGAAACTTATGATCTACTGGTGGGGGAAAAAAATCACTGAAAACTTCTTGAATGACAATTAAACAATATTGTAGCAAAGGTTTAAAAAATATGTGATAACTAATATATAGAGCACAAAAAATGTGATGCATATGAGTGAAATTGATATTTTGAGATGTGATTATAGTTTACAACTCTTAAGAAACATTGGCTTTTCTACTTACTATTTGTTGAATTCTTTACCTGGTATAGGGTTAAATTTGTGATTATAAAATAAACAGAAGCCATGTTATTGCAAAAATCAAAAGAACAATATAAAAGGTAGAAGGATGTAGGGCAGAAGCATGAAAGGAGCAAGAAGAGAGTGGTAAGCATCACTATACTCCTAAATCTGTAAATACAAAATACATGAAATTTGTTCACCTTACATACACAGAACAGCTTAAAAAAATAAAAGTAGAAAAATGTGCCTGTCATTTGCCTTGGGAATTTATTGCAACATAATGATTACATGTTTTATAAGTAGGTTGACTGTAGCACTGTCTTTTAAGGTGTATAACACTGGATGTACCATATGTGAAATAGTAGAAAACTGATTTTAAAATTTATGGTGCATTATGCAATGAAGTCATAAGTGGTCATTAAAAATTACTGACAAAATATTAATAATGTTAAGTAGAAGGGCAGGCTGTAAAAAAGTAAAATTATGTTTAGTATGATTATATATTTATACACATACATTCATGAGATGTTAATTGGAAAGACTTGTCCTAAAATCTAAACAATGACAATAAATGCATCCTAAAATCTAAACAATGACAACAAATGCATTTTCTTTCAGTTTTATCATCTTTCCATTTGTCTGAACTCTCTAAGTGCTCTATCACTTCAAAAATCAGAAAAATATCCCTAGAATATATTTTTACATGAGCTAGGTTGGTAAAAGCAAAATTAGTTTATCTTTAGAAAGAAATTATATTTTCTATATTGTTGTATTTAGTTTGTCTTGTGGCATTCTCTCTTCCTTGTATTAGAAGACACATATGAAGGTAATGGAAAGTTCATGAAATTCACAGAAAATTAAATTGAGATAATTTTTGGTGCCAAAATATTAGAAATTCCTGTATAGTTTTTTCACGATACATATATTCCATATGACCCCACACATTGTGTTATCCCCAGAAATATAAATTTTTTGAGGGCACAATAGATTATCCAATCCCAGTTTGGTTTGTAAATTCTTGTGCAATCACCGTACAAGTCCTTGCAAATGGAGAATACATAAAATCATGACAACTAGTATTAACACACATTAAGATACATAAAAAACTTTAAATATTAGAATCATTGCAGTGTTGTTACAAGAACAGACATAAAAGATAACTAGAATAATGGAAATAGCCTCCAAAAAATCTTGGAAATGCAGACTTTCTAAAATGAAGGTTCTAATTTAAGCAAAAAATTGAAGAAGCAGCAATTAGACACCCATTCATGCCAGGACAATTAGTTTATACTTCAATTTCATATCACACATCAAAATAATTTTCAGATCAATTTGAGAGTTAAATTTTTATAAATCAAACTAATTGGACTCCCAGGGAAACTGTTAAATATATCTTGACAATAAAATGCTGGACTTTCTGCCACTGTCTATACCTACAACGTCAGGATACACTTGAATAGCATAATGTATATAAAATGAAATATATGTATAAATTTTTTAAAATTAAAGGTTGAAATCAATAGGAGAAAAACATTTGTGATGAATTGGCAAACAACAGGCTTCTCAGATGTGTAAACTCATACACATTACTTTTAAAAATAAGATGCCAAAAGATACATGAAATCTACCACCAAATATTTCATAAAAGTAAAAAAATATAAATAGGCAACATAAAGAAAGAAAATGTTTAACCTTTGTAGCTGGCACTGAAAGAAATACAAGGGTATTTTTAAAAACTGTGCAAAAATTGTTAATTAAATGATGTTTATCTTGGTGCCAAAAACTGTTGAAATCCATGTACATGACAACATGAGATTTTTGAAAGTTATATAGACATGTGTTTTGTGAAGAAGTTATTCATGCAAACCAAACTTGGCCAAAAATAACTATTTTTTTTCCAATGTGCTTTTGGAATCACCCTTGTACTAATGAAAAATGTGTTCTTTTTTTTTTTTTTTGACCTGTCAGATATTTTATGTGTAACGAATACATTCAGTATTAATAAGATTAAAATAAACGATGATCCAGACATTCTAACACCTTCTATGGAGCATGCTAAATGTTTCACCTTTTCCGTAGAGATTTTGAAATCAATTTAGTACTAATAATGTCCTTATCTTTTTCCTAGTAGTATTTACATAAGAAACAACAAGCAAGTAAAAATGATGCATGAAAGCATTCTGTTCAGTGTATTTTATAATACTTCAGTGGAAATATTTCAATGACTCTATGCTTTTGCTGATTAAGAAATTTAAGACATTTCCAAAGGAGAGAACACATAAGAGTCACTTAAAAGTAGGATTATGAAATATTTTGAAATTATAAAAATTTTAGGTGAAAAATAATGGTAATTATTCAATAAATGATGGCTTTTACTATCAAAAAGTAATTAAAATGTAAGTAGATTATTCAAGGGGCATGCAATTAGTCTGACAGGTAAAATATTTACACCCCACTTCAGAGTGCCTGGATTCAATATCTGACTTCAGCCTCTACTTCAGCTTCCTAACCATACAGATCCTAGGAGGTAGAAACAATGGCTCAGGTAATGGAGTTTCTGCGATCCATGTGGGAGACCTGGATTAAATTCCCATTCTTACCTTGGCACAAACTGATGTCATTGTAGGTATCCGAGAAGTGAACCAGTGTTTGAAAGGGAATCTCTTCCTCTCTCTCCCTCTCTCTCCCCACATTCCTTTCTCCTTCCTTCTCTCTCTCTCTTCCCCCTCTTTCTTCCCCTCTTTCTTTCTCCCTCCCCCCTCTCTCCCCCTCTCTCCCTCTCTATTATTTATACTACATGTTCTCAGCTACACAAAAATTACTTTTTTTTAATTATTCATAACATTGTATTATGTGACACAGTTCCATAGGTACTGGGATTCCTTCCACCCCTCCCATAGCCCTCTCTCCATGGTGGGCTCCTCCACCTTGCTGCGTAACCACAGTTCAAGTTCAGTTGAGATTCCTTCATTGTAAGCATATACCAGGCATGGAGTCCAACATCTTATCGTCCAGATATTTTCGACGGTTTCTTAGGGAGACCTTCTCTGGTCTAAAGGCAGAGCCAACAGAGTAAAATCCTGATCAATCAAAAGCCCCAACATAACATCAGCAACAGTATACAACATTATGGTACTAATTGACATAGTATTGAGTAAACAACATATTGTAAATAATGCAAGTTCTTAAACACATCCTGTGATTACTCCATTGACATTTCAACAATTGAGGCATATAGCTGTTATAGGAGGGGTGTGCAGAGAAATCTTCGGTACCTTGGTGAGGAGTACTTGCTCCGTGTCCTACCTAGTGAGGTATGTGTGAGTCCATGCTGACAAAAATTAATGACTAGAAGGAGCCTTGGGATCCTGCACCTGCGTGGGAGACCCAAAAGAAGCTTCTGGCTTCTGGCTCTGGCTTCTGGCTTCAGATCGGCTTGGCTCCGGCCATTTCAGCCACTTTGGGAGTGAACCATTGGATGGAAGATTTTCCTCTCTGTCTCTCCTCCTCTCTTTACAGCTGCCTTTCCAATAAAAACAAATAAATCTTTGAAGAAAAAAAGACTAGAAGGAAACAGGTTAAAATTTTAATAGCCCCTTTCTGAAATTGCATGCGGCCTTTTGTTTTTCTTTATGCCCTTCACATTTTTTAAATAAACCATAATGAGCAATTGTTATTTGTGCAATGAACAAGAAAGTGAAGCACCATCACTACATTATGTGATACTATTTTCCTTGTGTTTGCAGGCAATTACATGCCGTGCGGCCATTGCCTGGGCAACAAATTCTCCTCTTTCAATTGAAGAAGTTCAAGTTGAGCCACCAAAGGCTGGGGAAGTTCGTATTAAGGTAAATTTAATCTTTCTACCCTTTACCTTAGGAGGTAAATAAAAGGAAATCCTAGTTCATTAAAAATGCAAGCATTTAAAAAATGAGTTCTATCCATTTAATTTGAATTTTTGCCTGTCCAATTTTTCTTGCAAAAAAATTAAAAATACAATAGAGTTAATAAACACTTGAGATATTCTTCATTACACAATATTAGTAACTTTCTTACAGTAAATTATTATTATTTTAATTATTGTGCTTCTTAAATAAATTACATTTTGTATAGGACAATATATTTTACAAAATGACCTACAAGGCTTTATGAATGCCACATCTGTCTCATTTTTGAAGGGACAGCCATACCTTTCAACTTTTATCATACAAAGTTAATAATATATACAATCAGTGATTGCAAGCTCATTATCCTACTTTATTATCGTGTATTCAGGAAGTATAATAGCCTCAGAAAACTCACCTGAAAAGTGTACAATGCACAAATTTAAATTTTAGGAATTAAGATTAAGAGTTCTATTATGACCTTTAAAATGATTAAAATGAGTTAGCAATTATTGAATCATACTTGAAGCAGGGATGAAAAAACATGAATCTATCAATGTAATCAAAGTAGGTGAAGATAGAAGTAAATGGTATACCAGTAACAGAGAAAAAGAACTAAGCAGATTTGAAACGTATCAGGAGGAAAAAAGAGGAAGAAAGGAGTTAATGTAGGAAAAGATACACTAGTGAATGGAAGACAGAAAAGGCAAGTAGGGGAAGTAGAAACCCCATGCTGTTGTTATATTAAGGACTTAATTTCCTTAATGAGAGAATATAAGAATAATTTCAAAAGCAGTACAGATGCAGACAGAGGGAGCCATTCAACAATTTTCCTTGATTGTTTTTCAGAATCTCATTCTATTTATCATACTTTTAAATACAATTTTGCTAATGCTTATTGTGTGCCAGGTCAGCATCCACCAAAATGTTTACTAGTTAATTACACACTGTTCTGTGCTCTTACACTTTTACATTCCATAACTATAAAGGCTATAACCTATATAAAACTTCCTGAATAGCTCTCCAAAGTGGAACTGCAGCAGCAAAGATCTGGGCAATATCTCTTTGGACATTGGATAAAACATGTTTCAGGACTAGTATTTCCAATGGTACCAACAGTTGTACTTTCAGCTGATACCAAGGATAATTTCCCACAGATAACTGCATATTCTTACATGGTGTGCAAGATAAAACTAATAAGGATATTCCAAACTTATATATGCCTAAAAGAACACTTTTACCATCTGAAAGCAACCTGAAGCCATTTTTAACACATGAGAAACAAAAATCATTGTATAATTCTCATGAGCATATTTTTTCACTCACTTAGTTGTATAATAATAGCAATAGCTTCTTCCAGTGTTCTGGCTATAAAGTACTACCTCTCTAAAAATAAATACAGAAAACTTGTCATTGTGCTTGTCTGGTAGTACTCTAGACAGAGCACTTAAACAGGGATTAAGGAATATGAAAGATTTCATTTTTGTGATACAAGTAATTGGATTGAAGCCAGCTGGCTTAACTGTTCTTATCTGTGTGCTGCAACAATGCGGAGGAATCCAACATGGGAGGAGGGTATGGGGAGGGGTTGAGGCAATCCCAGAACCTATGAAAATATGTCATAAAACAAAATTAAATAACAACAACAACAAAGGAGATGGCAGCTATCTATAAAGCAAAAAGAGAAAACTCAGGAGAATACAATCCTGCCAACTACTTGATCTTAAATTTCCAGCCTCCAGAATTTCAAGAAAATAAAAATAAATTATTTAAAGGGAGAAAAAAGAATAGTTAAGTCATTAATTACAAAGTTTTAGATTGTACTATGTCCATTAAATTTTTGTAATAAGCATCACTTAATTAAAACTAATTTTATATTATTAACTTAAGGCTTTCAATAAACAAATTTGAAAGTTTGAAAACTGGTTTGCCTGGGGAATTAAAGAAACCTTTTATAATGCTAGGGCTAAAATTCTGTTCTTCAATATTAGTGCTATTGATATTTATTAATATAAAATATTTATGAATGAGACTGTCATTATATTTTGTAACTATTTATGATATAAAATAAACAGATTAGATTTTAAAAAACCAAAATTATTCTAAGCTGCTAAACACAAGCCATGTGACTTTGGACAAGTCCTTCTCCACCTTTGAATCTCCCTTTCCTCATCTCTGTGTCAGAGGTGACAAGATTTACATGTGTCCTTCTGAGTGTTGTTACAAAGATCAAATCAGAAAGAAGAAAACTTTTAACACAATTTAGTTTCAGATAAAGGAAAGAGAAAAACCCCAAATCGACTGATCCTTGGTCATTTTGTCCCTATGCAGATGCTGTCTACAGGGATCTGTGGTACTGATGAACATGTCCTCAATGGAGAACTCCCCATGAAATTTCCTTTGATCCCAGGCCATGAAGGAGCGGGGATTGTGGAGAGTGTTGGCAACGGAGTAACATCTGTGGAGCCAGGTGGGCGATGGGGTGGCCTACCCACACTCAAGCAAGAGTGGAATAGAATCATAGCATCAGTGTGCTTCTATGTAGATTGAAAACTCTTTACAGATAAAGACAGCTCTGTGTGTGTGTGTGTGTGTGTGTGTGTGTTGCTCCAAATGATCAGCATTGCATCTGTCTAATAATTGGACTACATTACAAGTGAAGGTCCCAATCACTTGTGGAATGTAGAGTTTAGATCCTAGCTGACAATTTGAGAGTGGCATCACAAAGAATCAATAGAAAGCAACTGTATCACAGATTTAGTTTAATGCACCACTAAACATGATGCTCAACAAGTAAAAAATGGAAGGCAATTATAGATAAAGCTAAAAACAATAATCAAATCGTAACTATTTCATATTGTATTCTATATTATCTCTCAAATATAAGAGAAAGCATATGATATTTGTCTTTTAGGGATCCTCTTATTTTACCAAGACAAAGGTCTCCAGTCGCACATATTTTATTTTCATTTTTCTTAGAACTGTCTCTACAAATTACATGCAATTTATTCTCTTTATATTAGTAATTTTAGAAGAGGTAATTATATATACTTTCCAAATATATGAAAAAGAATCTTGGCATTCATATTCTTAGCATACTTGGAATGATCTGACTGATTATGAGCAATCACTCAGACCTTCAGAACCCCCACAGTTTGGTTTAGGTACATTAAGAGACTCAAAAAAGTGAACAACCAGGGCATTCATGAAGCCCAGTGTATTTATTCAATAAGCAGTTTTGGAATGCTATCTATGCTTCTGACACTAGGCACAGTTAAAAGGAAAAAAGGTAAAACAATAAGATATCATGCAAACAGGAGAGACAAATACTCCAAATTCTATTTGTTGAAAATTCTAGTTGTGTGGGAAATGAGGACCCATACTCAAAGAGAAAGCAGAACTCCTACTGAATTTGGAAACTGGTCCCTTTGAAGTTTTTCAGAGCTAATAAAAAAAATGTTCCTTATCAAAACTCATAAGAGAATTTAGTGTTTTCTAACTTTTTTTAACAAAGTGTAAAAAACTGTAAGAGTCACTCAAAGACACTGTTGTAGAACATCTGACCAGGTCTTCATAAATCTATAATAACAGTATTGATGATCTTCTCCTATCCCTCTCAGCCTCTTACCCTAATGCTCAGGAGGCCTAACTAATGACAGGATCCAAACATAATCATCTTCATTTTTGTCACTCTGCAATTCAAAGCTCTGTAGTCAGTGCTATTGTTGAGCTTCCTGGACTCTTTATATATCATTGATATTAATGCTTTATCAGTTGCATATGGTGCAAAAGCTTTCTGTCATTCTTCAGTTTCCTCTTTTTCTTGAGGGTTTCCTTTGTACTGAAGAAGCTTCTTAATTGACTTAATTTCATTTTTCGATATTTGCTTTTATTGTTTATACTTCTGAGGTTTTTTCCAAGAAGTTTTTGCTTATGACAATGATTTAAATGATTTCCATAATATTTTCCTGTAGTAATTTAATGTTAACAGTTTTGTGGACTTTGATCCTTTATTCACTGCAAGTTTGTTTTTGTATAATGTGTAAGGTAGGTATCTTGCTTCGTACTTCTGCATGCATAGACACTATTTCCCCAACAAAATTCGTTGAAGACACAGTCCTTACTCCAGGGATTGTTCCTAGCTTGTTTACTAAAGATTATTTACTTGTAAACATGTGAATTAATCTCTGAGGTTTCTATTCTACTCCACTGACCCACCTGTCTATTTTGTGCCAGTGACAGGCTGTTTTTAATCATAACTGTCCTGTAGAATGTCCTGGAATTTGGTAATGAGATACTTCTGATTTTGCTTTGCTTGTTCAGCATTCAAATGCTTAATAAAGCTCAATTCATAATAGGTAAAATATGGAATCAACCCAGATGCCCAGCAGCTGATGGATGGGCAAAAAATATGCGATACATACATACACTATGGAATACTATTAAGCCGTTAAAAAAATAATAAAATCCTGTCTTTTGCAACAGGGAAATAAGTCAATCACCAAAAGACTAATACGTAGCAGTTTAAATAGAATACAAAAAAGCATATAGGAAAAACCAGACATCTTGAGATTTTATTGTTGTTTTTACTATCATTTATACTCCTGTGGAACTGTGGCCTTACAACTTTTTTAACTTGTTAAATATAAATGTGCTTAGTGGTACATTAAGCATGTAATTGTAGAGTTGCCTGAAACTATGATTTTCAAAACTCAAAGAAAAATGAGAGGAAGGAAGGATGAAAAGGAATGAGGGAGTAAAATTTGAGGGAGAGAAATATGCATATCTTCTTAGAACTATGCCCATGGAATATATTTGATCTGTTCTCTTCATATCTATAAATTTTTAAAAAGAGAAATAAAAGCAAACTAATAATGACAAATAATAATGGCACTTCTGAAACCAGGTAAAGTGGGTATCATACTGGCTACCATGGTGTGTCTGGAGCACGTTTTCAAGCAATCAGTGAAATTTTTGCAAATATACTACTATATTTTTATTCCAGTGGTTGTTTCAAACTATTGATTTTATCATTTTTCTTTGAATAGGAGACAAAGTCCTCACACTCATTATTCCACAGTGCAGAGAATGCGGTTCCTGCTTGAACCCCCAAGGAAACTGCTGTGAAAAGCAAGAGTTAGTAGATTTTCTCTTCACTCTTTTATGATTGATTATATAGCACAATCATTGATCTGTAGCTAATGGTGCTCACTTTTCTCTTTAAAACCCCATGTGTCCGTACTGGTGACTGCCTCCGTCTCTCTACGGAACAGTGTTCTACCCTCTACTGGATTAATGGTGGATGGGACCAGCCGATTTACCTTCAAAGGAAAAAAGATTTATCATTCTTTCCGCACAAGCACATGGACCGAATATACTGTTGTGCCCGAATTTGCAGTGGCAAAAATTGACCCTGCTGCTCCTATGGATAAAGTGTGCCTTATAAGCTGTGAGTTACCAACAGGCTACGGGGCTGCTGTTAATGCAGGCAAGGTGAGGAAGATACCCGTGGTTTACCATGTGCCATAATGACTTCCCTGGCAAAACATTAAAACCAGGTCAAATTCTACAGGTCAAATGGCTCAACTAATGTAATAATTTCTAAAGTCACAATGAGCATGTTATTTGCTTGTTTCCTTACTTAATTTCATGTATGTCCAGATTTGATTCCTAATACAAGCATGACCTGAATTTTTAGGTGACTCCAGGTTCCACCTGTGTAATCTTTGGACTTGGAGGAATTGGCTCTGCCATCATCCTGGGCTGCAAAGCCTCCGGTGCTTCTAGGATCATTGGGGTTGACATCAATGAAGAGAAGTTTCCCAAGGCGAGAGAATTGGGGGTCACTGATTGTCTCAACCCTCAGAAGCTCAAGAAGCCAGTCCAGGACGTGGTAGTAGAAATGACAGGAGCTGGTGTTGACTTTGCCTTCGAGGCCATTGGACGCATTGATACCATGGTATGTGGTCCTAGGGAATAGTGACGTGGTATTTCCTTTCAACATGTAGGTACAAGTTGAACAGCCTCCCATATAAGTATAAAGTCTCCTAGGAATACATTCAGAAACTGAACATCAAATCAAAAATTGAATATAGTGGTAATAACTTAGCCTAAGCAGTTCAGACATCCTTTACCCAGATAAGATCAGATTGCCTGGATTCAATTCCTGATTCCTGCTCCTGATTCCAGCTTCCTGTTCACACAGATCCTAGAATGGTTCAGGTAACTGGGTTCCTAAAATACACTTGGGAGAGTGAAATGACTCTTTTTCTTCTGGCTTTAATTTGACCACATCATTGCTATTACATACTTGGACAGTGAACCAAACAGCAAAAGTTCTCATTCTCTGTCTCAGTATAATTGTGTGTGTGTGTGTGTGTGTGTGTGTGTGTGTCTTTTTACTATAGCTCTCAAAGTTTTAATATGTATTTGATACAGAGAGAGAGAGAGACAGTGTGTGTGTGTGTGTGTGTGTGTGTGTGTGTGTGTGTGTGTGTGTGTGTAAAGAGACAAAAACAGGAAGATCTTTCATCTGCTGATTGCTTCCCTAAATGAACACAGTGGAACTTGGTCAGGTTGAAGTTAGGATTCTGAAACTTCATCTAGGTCTCACACACAGCAGCAGGGATCCAATTACTTGGGCCATCTTCCACTATTTTCCCAGGAGTATTACCAGGCAGTTGGATTGGAAACAGAGCAGCAAAAATTCAAAATGACATAGTTATCTAGGATGGTAATGTCCCACATGACTTAATCTACTGTGCCAAATCACTGGGTTTTCAAATAAACTTAAAATATAATGTAAATTCCCACTAAAACATTCATTTTTAAAATAAAAGAAACACATATATGTCATTATAGTATATGAAGTTTGAGCATGTAATACAACGCCAATAATTCCTTTTTGTAAAATTTGCACCTCTTTGTGCAAATTTTTAAATTTGTTTTGACTAATTCAGTGATTTAAAAGGTAGAAATAAATGTCATCTATCCACCGACTCTTTCCCTAAATCGTCATACACTCATGTCTGGGCAAGAACAAAGCCGAGTCAAAAACTATCCCCATTCTGCTCTCCTACTTGGTTAGCAGGTACCAAATTACTTGGGCCATCACCTGTTACCTTTTTAGGCACATAAGCAGAAAGTTGGATCAGATGTGCAGTAGGTGAGACACCAGTAGCATAAATAGCAACGCAGTTCACTTTGTCACAATGCCAGCCCTCTGTGTTTTAATATGTGTGAATGGACATTGTTTGATTCACATGTGTTATTTTTGTGAACCGTAATAGAACTATTTATCCATTATAAAACTGGCAAGTTCCTATGCATCATTGTGTTAAGTTGCATGGAATAAGAAGCATTACAGGAGAGAATGCAAGCATCAATATACTGAAGTGTGTACTCACTCTAATTGATCAACGAGTACAGAAGTACAAACATGCCATGTGTTACATGAAAATGCAAATATACATAAATGGAAGAATAAGGAAAGAAAGTGGAGTTAACATTCAGAAACTGGGGTAAAACACATATGAAAAAGTATACTGTTTATAAAACCTAATTTTTAAAAATGAAGTTTCACCCACAATATCTTCATAATAACCCTGTGAATTGGGTAGCCTACTTCTATTTTAGAAAGAAATTGAGGCATTGTAAAGAAAAAAATAACTTTGCCAAGTTACATAAGTAGCAGAGTCTTTAGCTTCTCTAATAAGAATCCTATAATTTGTCTGTTTGAAGCAGATGTTATTGTACTGTCTGCTCAGAAAATCAAAATCTACAGACTTCAAGATTCCTTGCACCTTACATGGTAGCTATTACTCATGTCTAGGAAAATATTTATGATCATTATTATCATTATTAGACTGCTGCTTGGGATTCCTGCCACAAGAGCTATGGAGTCTGTCTGATTGTTGGGTTGGCGCCAGCACAAACACAGCTTTCCTTAGATGCACCAATGATTGTCACCGGAAGAACACTGAAGGGCGTATGTTTGGGAGGTAGGTGAATGAACAGAAGAACCCCATTGGTTGCTCCAGTGAATTCCCTTTCAACTCTGCAGAAACATGGAAGTCAACGCCCCTATCTTTGGAGCCACAGACATAGTAATGAAAGTTTCTTCTCTAATCAATTAGTAATTTTCAAATCACTATCAAATAAATTAATTTAATAGGGATTGTTATAGTTCAAGTACATTTTTCTCAGCTGCAAATAGTTTGAGGTTTTTATTGAGGCAGAAATTATTTAGTTAGGTTCTGTACTGGTAGATTAAATGTTGGCTGTAGTATTTCAGCTGCAACAATATTCTGAACAATTATAGATGTTCAGATTTTGTATCTGAAGACTAGATTTTATATCCTCAACAGAGGTCTTATTTTTAAGCAATATTAACAGCTTTAGTAAATTAAAGCTTCCACCTATACCATTCACTTGGTGGGTTCTCATGTCCCCATCATGCATGTGAGTAGAGAAGGGAGGAAGCAGCTTAAAGGTAAGCCTGAAAGAACAGCTGGAAACTGCTTCTTTAAAAATCACTTTTCAACTCATTAACATGAATATTGGCCTAATTTTTCTCCAAAGACATTCTAGATATCACAAACTTTGTATGCTAGTCACACATAGTAGCACCTCAACATCCTCTGATGCACAAATAAATGAACTTCTACACTAAGTGGCAAATTTTCAGAGGAATTCATTGCCCATTTCCATGACTTAATTGATTTATTTTATTTCTTTCACCTTGTTTGATATTTCTCAAGTATTATTATCACAGCTTTTTTATTTTTACAGAATATAAAACCAGAGACTGTATTCCTCAATTAGTAACTGACTACCTGCAAAAGAAAATTAATATAGATCCAATAATAACCCATCAGCTACCTTTTGATAAACTCCATGAAGCCCTTGAGCTGTTTCATGCTGGAAAAACGTGAGTGCTTCATTTACCAATCTGTACGCCAATACCTCACAGAAGAAAGTTGTCTTCAGTTACTTCTCAGCGGTTCTATGAAAATGAGATGGTTGCTTGGACTTTTGCTTTCACTCTCACACTAACCTTGTTTCTACCATCATGATGGTAAGAAAAGGTTTTTCCTCTTTGAAAAAGAATGAAATCAACCTGTTTCAAAGAAATGCCCAAGAATTCATTACAGCAGTAAGGGCCGTTCTATTCCAAATTAGTCCATGCGTTATTTCCCAAGTTAGAGAAACTATCCAAAAACAAATGAGTTGTCATTTTGAGTCAAGAAAACTTGTAAGGAATCTTAGAAATTTCGACTCCCACTCAGGGTATAAATTCTTCCTGCACCATTTCTGATATACATTCAATCTGTCTCTGCTAGCATGAATTCAGAAATAGAACATTAATTGAATAAGCACTTATGTATACACATATATGATTGGTAAACACTTATTGATAGCACACTGTTTGCCAGTACTATCATGCATAAACATGCCATTGTCACCAATATTTTAGTCTCCTCCTTCTGGTCCCAAGCAAGTTTCTGTTTTATGTGCTTTCTCCCAACTCTACCTATATCCATCGCTGATTTATTTTAAAAATCTTGATCTTTAACTTTTGCTACTTGTTTTGACCTACCACAGCAATCCCATTTAAATAAGGAACTAAGAACCAAGAAAATCTAAATGAAATCTTAGAATTAGATTAACAAGAATGGGAGAAAGGATCCAGCGATCAATGGAGACACTACCAAAAGAAAGTCAGGGGAGCCAATATTTTTTATTCCTCACCTGGACATGGGGCTGCAGCAGAGGGTTTGTGGGTTTCTGTTGTCACCCAGCCAGAGAGAATATTAGTTGGAATATTCCTTTCATGACTGACACTGAAGTCTAAATCAGACTCTCATCAGTTAGTGATATTTCATGCAGATAAAGTAGTATGAAGATGGAGTTAGGTTGGGCACTGGTAGACCATAGAGCTTTTCATTACAAGACTTGTCTTACTGAAATCACTGTTTCCTGAATAATTGGTTTCTTTCTTTCACTTCTATGTTTCAGCATCCGCTGTGTCCTGCTGTTCCGAGGCAACAAATGACACAAGGTGCAGCAGCATCCTTGAGGACTTCACTCTTGCCTGCTTCACCTCCCTAAGGATTCCAGTGCGTGGGAAAGAGAAACATTGCAGAGAAGGCTATGTGGCTGTGCAAAATGAAATATGTACCACTTGAATATTTTAAAACAAGATAAAAAAATTGAAAAATGATTAATATAAATCATTATTAAATGTAGTGAGAGAAATTTTGGTTTTTAATTGATGACACCATTGATATGTGCATAAACCCAACTGATCTATGAAATTAGTCCATAAAAGTTGTCCCTAACATACCTCAATTGTTCCATTCCTCAGGGTGCCTTCATTTCTGGCTGATGCCTCTGCACTATCCCTTGCCACTCTAGAGTTGATATGATGATTTTGCTGACAGTGCTGCTAGGTTACAACCTTGATGCTTCCTTTGAATCTTTCTCTTCACCAAATTAATGTTATAATTTACTTATTTGGGGTTAGAGGGTTGGGAGAAGGGTAATGAGAAATAGTTCCTCTTATTCTGCTCTTTTTTAAATCATATTTTCTCTCTCTGCAAAGATCACTTCCATTCTGTTTAATTTTTCAGCTTTTGAAGAATAAAAGTCAAAATGAAAATTCCTTTTACCATTATTTCAATGGCATTGTCTTGTCCTGACATTTCAGCTCAGAATGGCTTCAATGAGTTACTGGGACTGGGATGGAAGTAGGGGTGGGGATGGGAGATATCAAAGAAAATACATTACGATGAGAGAGAGAGAGAAGAAAACAAAACAAAACAAAACAAAAAAGAAGAAAGAGAGAAAAAGAAAGAGGAAGAGGAACATATCAAATATGATCATGCCAGATGAGCTCTGTTACTAACAAGTACTTGCTAGTCTGAATATCAATTTTCCCATTGTAAAATGGGAAAAAATGAGAGAACAACATTATAATTTGACTGTCAAGACTGGAATAATTTTTACAAGTGTAGAAATAAAATAAAATTCTAAACTTTTAAAGAATAGTACATTTGAAATATAAAAAGAAAGACAAAAATAAATATTCTAAGCTAGAAATTTTAAATAAAATTAACTCTAGAATTAGACATTTTAGTGACAGTAAAGCAAGCAAAATTGAGAGAAACTGTTGTAAGAGAACTTTTTCTCTTACACTATTTCAAGTGAAATATTAAAAATATCAAATAATCTAAGATCATTACAAGAAATGGTACAAGAACACATTCCACACTTTAAAACATTAGAAACAAGCTAGAAGCCAAGTTTCCTGACTATTAGAAGTGTGGGGTTAGAAATACCCAGATACCAAGGTTAGCTTCCTAACACACAGGGCCTCTGCATTTGGAGAGAAACTTGGAAGGCAAGAAATATGAAATGTGCAACAGGTTCTTGGCCAGAAAGTATACACATGGAAGATCTTCCTGGCACTCATTAATAGAGTTACAATCCAAGTATGAAAAGAAAGACACTAAAGTATCCATTCACACAAACTCCGCACAGTCCAAGAAGAATGGAGTACTCCGTAAGTACTCAATAAGAACAACATGCAAATTTTGGTAATGAGTAGGGGCATGATGAGCTACATTACATACAATTGAAATAAAATTCTACTCTAAACAGATTAAAACACAAAAATATACCATGAATATTAATTAAGTATAAAATTTTTGCACATCAATAGGGTATAAAAAGCCTTTCTAAACATGACACAAAAGAAATAACCCATCAAGAAAATTTTATATATTTGACTACTAAACATTTTAAACTGAGGTCTAGAAAAGAATAAGATTACAAACAAAGCTGAAGCTCTATGAAAAAACTGAGTGGAAATATTTGTGATATACATCACAACTATATAATATCTTCTGTAAGAAATGGTAAAATAGGGACCAGCATTGTAGCTTAGTGGCTAAAGTTTTTGCCTTGCGTGTGCCAAGATCCCATATGGGTGCCAGTTCATATCCCACTGCTCTAGGTCCATTCCAGCTCCCTGCTTGTGGCATGGGAAGCAGCAGAGGATGGCCCAAGCCTTGGGACCCTGCACATGGTTAGGAGACCCAGAAGAAGCTCCTGGCCCATGGCTTTGGATTGGCTCAAGCTCCAGCCATTGTGGCCACTTGAGGAGTGAACCACTGGAAAGAAGATCTTTCTCTCTGTTTCTGTTCTATGTAAATCTGACTTTCCAACTCAAATAAACAAAGCTTTTAAAAAAATAGTAAAATATAAATATATTAATATAAAAGCATTGCTGAAGGATTATATAAACATCATAAAATATTCTAATGAAACTTGAAAAAATGAATAAAAGCCAAATTTCAAAATATAAAATGAAACAACGATGCAATAATAGATTGTCAAGTTAACAGCAAACAAAGCAAGTGGTCCTTAATATGTTATAGGATATAGAGAAATATCAGCACTGGTTTACTTTTTCAAGGCAATTTAGTGCAATTTCATGAGTAAATTCCAGGGATGGTTCAACACATGCAAATTATCTCAATAAATTCATGGAAAGCAGCTGATAAAATATGAAAAAACTATCCTGTTAGAAACTGGATACAAAAGGAACATTACTCACCAGAGGTAAAGCAACATGTGACAAACCCATAGCCACTATCCTATTGAGTGGGGAAGTTGGAGGCATTTCCACTACGTTTCAGAACCAAAGGATACCACTATCATCACTGCTATTCAATTTAGACCTGGAATTTTCAGCCAGAGTCATTAGGTAAGAAAAGAAATCAAGGCAGAAAAAATTATAAAGGAGTAATTCAAGCTATCCCTTGTAAATGACATGATTCTTTATATAGTCGAACCAACATACTTTGCTAAGAGAGTACTAGAACTCATAAGAATTTGATAAAGTTTCAGGATATAAAATCAATACACAAAAATCAACAGCTTTTGTATACACAATTCCATGGCTGAGAAAGAACTTGTAACAACAGTCTCATTTACAGCAGGTGCAAAAAGTATTCAATAACTTAAAATAAATTTTACCAAAAATGTCACAAATGTTTATGATACAAATAGCAAAGTATTTTTTTTTCATTTTTTATCACATTTTTTACAATCTTTACATAGTTAATTAGGGTAAAAAGGTTCACAAATAGCAAAATATTAAAGAAAGAAATAAAAGAAGACACAAAACATGGAAAAATTGGGCCTGGTGCAGTGGCCTAATGACTGAAGTTTTCACCTTACATGAACTGGGATCCCATATGGGCACTGGTTTATGTACCAGTGGCACTGCTTCCCTATCAGCTCCCTGCTAGTGGACTGGAAAGGCAGTATAGGATGGCCCAAAACCTTGGGACCATGCACCCATGTGGGAGACCAAGAAGAAGCTCCTGGCTCCTGACTTCAGATCAGCTCAGCTCCGGCCGTCATGACTACTTGGGGAGTGAACCAGTGGATGAAAGATCTTCCTCTCTGCCTCTCCTCCTCTCTGTGTATCTGACTTTCCAATAAGATAAATACATGAAAACATGGAAAAATCTATCATATTAGTGGATTCACAGAATTAATATCAAAATGTCCATACTATCAAAAGCATTTTACAGACTTAATGTGACCCCAAGCAAAATATCTAGGACATACTTCTTAGACCTAGAAAAAAAATGCTAAATTCATATGAAAACACAAGAGACAATGAATAGCTAAAGCAACTTTAAACACAAAGGTGGAAGTATCACAATACCAGCCTTCAAGACTTACAATGCAGCTGTAATCAAGACAGCCTGGGACTAGCACAAAAATAGAGATGAAGATGAATGGAAAGAATAGAAATACCAGAAATTACACACTACTATAGCCAACCAACATTTGAAAAGCACACTGAAATCGCCCATGGAGAAAGCACAGTCTTTTCAACAAATGGTGCTACAGAAAATTAGATTTCTGTGTGCAGAAATATGAAACAAAACCCCCTACTTAACCTTTTATGCAATCATCAACTCTAAATGGATTAAGGCGCTGAATCCATGCCTTGGTTTCATCAAATTATTAGAATGAAGCATTAGGGAAACTCTGCAAGGGAATAGGCAAAGGATTTGTTTAAAAAATAAAAGACCTCAGAAAGCACAGACAATTAAACAAAAGTAAACAAATGACATTACATGAAGCTAAGACAACTCTCCACTCTAAAAAGTATATCCTCAACAAGGTAAGTTGAAGAAACAACTAACAGAATGGAAGAAAATATTTCCAAATTTCATAGTTAATAGAGGATTAAGATCCAGGCTCTAGAAAGAGATCAAGAAACTCAACAATAATCAAATCAATAATCCAGTTAAGAAATGGGCAAATGGCATGAGCAGGCAATTTTCAAAGGATAAAAAACAAATGGGCTAGAAACACATCAAAAATACTCAGGACCACTAGCCACCAGAGAAATGCAAATAAAGCCCACATTGAGGTTATACCTCATCCCCATCCAAATGGCTACCCTCTAAAAATCAAAAAGCAGTAAGTGCTGGCGAGGATCACAAATCCACAGTTGCATTAAATTTGTTGCCTCTTTTTTGATAGGGCTCTCCTCAGTTCTGAGCCTTAAAGGAATGATCAAGTTCCCAATAAAAAGTTCAGGGTCGTGTCTGCAAAGAACAGAAACTTGCCTGCTTTGTTTATCTTTTAAATACCTGTAATTATCTGAGGCCAACTTAAAGTGGATGATCAAAAAAACTATGCATGATGAATAAATGTATCCATGAAGAAGACTAGACCACTGTTATTCTTTTGAAATGTATAGAACAATGTTTGACATCATGTCTGAAAACCAGCCAAAAACCGAATTAATTAATTAAGAATCCAGAGGCAAGAGTTGGGACACTATTTTGGATGCCTGCGTCTTATATTGAACAGCTTCAGTTTTAGCCCCAACCCCATTTCCAATTTCACTTTCCTTCCAAATGTATATGCTCAGAGTAATCAGACTTTTATTGCCCTGTTGTCCATATGGGATATAAAATAAAATAAAAAACAACTTCAGAGGAATTTTAAAGAAGGAAATAA